TAGGGTGAAAGAGATCACCAGCCCAGGTTGGATGCAGGAGACAAGTGCTCGGACCTAGTGCACTGGGAAGAGCCAAAGGGATCGGGTCGAGAGGGAGGTGGGAGAGGGGATCGGGATGGGGAACACATGTAAATCCATGGCTCATTCATGTCAATGTATGACAAAAACCACTACAATATTGTAAAGTAATTAGCCTCCAACTAATAAAAATAAATGGGAAAAAAAAGAAAATTTTAAAAGAACATTATCTTCCTCACCAAATAATTATGAGGACCAAGTGAGTTTATTTGTATCAAGCACCTAGGACAGGATCTGGCGCACAGTAAGCCTTCACTTCATATTATAGTTTCTATTTGAAGAGTTTGCCCTGATTTTACTTTGGGAAAGGACCTTCCCATATTTTGAGGCCAAGGTCACAGGACCCAGGACACTGGCTGGAACGGCTGGAGGACGGACTAGCCTGCCACTGGGGGCCTAGCATTGCAGCAGCTGACCATCTTGGACACTACAAGGAAAGAACTCACAGACAAAGGACGGTAAGAGAGTGAGAATGGAAGGGAGAGAGAAAGAGGTGGGTGGGGAGAGCACTGGATGAGTCCACTCCCAAATGCTGATGAAATAACAGTAGGTGGGGAGGGCACTGGATGAGTCCACTCCCAAATGCTGATGAAATAACATGTGACTCTGAATCTTCTTGTTCTTCTCAGTTACAGGACCCAGTGATTTTCTCCTTCACTTATGCCAATTTGACTAGGTTCCTGTCACTTGCAACTTGAAGAATCCTGACATGATCTGATACAGCACATTAAGACTCCACCTCTCTGGACACTGATACCAGGAATGCTCCCTTTCTCAAGGTTAGGCCAACTCCTCAGGCACAGCTCTGCCTACCTCAGTCTCCTTCTTGAGAACTTTTCTTCTTGTCACAGACCATGCCACAGCCCCATGGACCCTAGTATCATGGAGTTTCTTCATATGGAAGCATAAGTAAGTTTTTCACTTCCCAGGAGATCCATGATCCAGTCCACAAACCACCAGAAGGAAAAGAAGGCCTTGTTCACCCCTAAAATACCCATTACAAACAGGGCCGTCAAAGGGACAGCCTGAGATTCCACAGGCCACAGGCCAAGGCTCAGGTGAGTCTTGTGAGATCATGCTAGTCAGTAGGAGGCAGACTCTCGGCGCCTCTCTAACACGGGTAATGGACATGACAAGATATACCTGACTTCTTCCAAAGTCTTCTCCAGAGAAAACAGTTTCTTTTAGGACATCTCTTCTGATATTCTTAAACAAACACAAGTGGGGCAGAGGCTCATTCTGTGGCCTCCCATTTTTATGAAGAGCTGAGCAGCCTAAAAGCTGGGACTGCCAGATGCCCTCATCTAAAGAAATCAAATGCCAATAGGTAGGTGTGCAATAGGTTCAAATAAAAAACCCTCCAGGTGAGGAAATGTTTCCAAACACCACTTCAGACAAACTCAAGTGAAATCACTGTGATGTTATTTTGGCCACATTTTCAGGGGGTCTTCAACTCAGCACCTCAAAGCATTTTACACATCAATCACCAACTGGAGCAGCTGAGGGGGTGGAGCTGTGGAAAATATTCAAATTAACAACCTTGTCTTCCACTAAGGTAAGTGAGCTAGACAGTGAACCCCCACCCCCACCCCACCCACAAACCAGACCACACAACTCATTGATAGCCAGGAAGAGATCCCAGGATCCCTGGGTCTCCTTCCCTGCATCCCTCTGTCCTTCCCCGGCACACCCATGAAAATTGTTCCCAAGACGGTGGGTTGCTGACTTGATCTCTGCCGCCCCAGGGGGATGTGTCCACCCAGTCAGCCCAGGGTCTGTTACAGTGCACAGTGCTTTGTTCTTGTCCCCACAAGGGCACCATAAACCTAGTAATTTCCTCATCCAAAACATCCCACTTCACCTGTAAAGCAGGTCTGAACCCTGGGCTGTTTGGGAGCATGCACCATAGGATGGAGAAGAAGCTAGAGTCAGAACCCCAGTGACCCTGTGGTCCTTATCTGAATTCTTGGTTTGCCAGTGGGAAAGACCTGGCTTTGGTCCCCTATGTATATACGTCAAACAATGTCACCAACCTCAACAATTTTCTTTGCCAAGGATTGAAAGTCTGGAGTCTAGGGCTTTTCACTGACCATGACCCTCTCCCCAAAGGTGTCAGCCATAACTGTCAGATCTTTCCAAAATTAAGCTCTTGCTTCTCAGCAAAAACATTTCCCAAGACTCAGTACTTGATCCATTCCTTTCTCTCTATGCCCTTGAGAATCTTACCCATTTCCAAAGTGTTCTTTAGTTATTATTAACTAATAATAATCAGTATTGGCAAAACAATGTGCAACAGACAATGTATTTTACATACATCATTTAATCTCTGGAATAACTTTTAGAGGTACGAATTATTCTTCTCCCTGTTTCAGAGAAGCAGCACAACATATGGTTAAGAGCACGAGCTGAAATAGAGAGCCTGGGTTCAAATCCCAGCTCCACTACTTACTGGTTCTCCCAGCTCCACTACTTACTGGTTCTATGATCTTGACATGTTATCTAACCTCCCTGGGCATCAGTTCCCCACTCTGTCAAATGGAGATAATACTCCTTGCTCAGGAATAAGTATCTCATATGGTTGATGGACAAAAATCAATGAGTTAATATTTATAGAGTGCTTAAAATAGAATTTGGCACCACATAAGTGTTTGTTAAATGGATAAAGTGGGGAAATTGAGGCTCAGAAAGGTTAAGTGCCCAGTTCAAGAGAATACTTGATAGCAGCTCTCCAACTTGGTCCTATGGCTATGAGACTACTTTCAATTTATCTGCTCACCACAGCAGGTAAGATTCAACATGGTGTGGCCTCGTCTAAATTCCAGTCTTTTCACCCACCAACCCCTTTATGTATGTTCTGCTCCAACCAGCTATGCTTACATGCTGCCATTTCCGATATGTTCTGGCTTCTGCCTCTAGTTGGAATGCTCTCCCTGCTTGCAGAATGAATTAATAAAGATTTATGAATTCTAAAATGTGTTACTGATCTATTGGTCTAATAACTTGATTGAAAGAGAGAAAGAAAGAAAGAAATATGGGGGGGTGAGGCTTTAAAGAGATACAAAAATATTCCAATTCACAACCTTGAATTTGGCAATGATTTGGATATGATGCCAAAGGTATAAGCACAAAAGAAAAAATTGACAAAGTGAACTTTATGAAAATTTAAAAAATTTGTATATCAAAAGATACCAGGGACAGAGCAACACACAGATTGAGAGAAAATATTCGCAAATCATACAGGTGACTACAAATTAATATTCAGCATGTATTAAGAACTCCTGAAATTCAACAACAAAAAATTCCATATCCAAAAAAGATACATGACTAGCCAATAAGCACATGAAAAGATGCTCAGCTTCACTGATCCTTAGGAAAAGCAAAGCAGCACTGTGCGGTGTCACCTCACACTCATTAGAGTGGCTACTGTCCAAAACAAAACCCAGAAAATAGTAAGTGCTGGTGAGGATGTGGACAATCTGGAACCCCTGTAGACTGTTGATGGGAATGTAAAATGGTACAGCTATTGTGGAAAACAGTACAGCAATTTCTCAAAAAACTAAACATAGAATTACCACATGATCCAGCAATTCTGCTTCTGGATATACACCCCAAACACCTCAAAGCAAGATATCAAAGAGAGGGACTCCCCTGGTAGTCCAGTAGTTAAGGACCTGCCTGCCAATGCAGGGGACATGGGTTTGACCCCTGGTTTGGGAAGATCCCACATGCCACAGGGCAACTAAGCCCACAAGCCCTAACCCATGCTCTGTGACCGAGAAGCCACCACCAGGAGAGCACAGACCACAACTAGAGAAAGACTGCACAGGGCATGCACTGCAGCCCAAATAAATACACAAACAGAGAGAAAAAGCAGTTGACTGTAAGACAGATCTCAAAGAGATATCTGTACGCCATGGTTCCTAGCAGCATTATTCAAGGCAGCTAAAATGTGAAAGAAATCCAAGTGTCCACTGACTGTGAAATGATAAGCATAATATGGTATATCCACATAAAAGATTATTCAGCCTTAAAGAGGAAAGAAACTTTGACGTATGCTACGACATGGATGAACTTTGAGGACATTATGCTAAGTGAAATAAACCAGACACAAAAAGACAAATATTGTATGATTCTACTTGTATGAGGTACTTAAGAGTAGTCAAAATCGTAGAGACGGAAAATAGAAATGGTGGTTGCCAGGGGCTGGTAAGAGGGAGACAAGAGAGTTGCTTAATGGGTTTAGTTTTGCAAGGTGAAAAGAGTTCTGGAGATGGATGGTGATAATGGCTGTACCATATAAATGTACTAAATACTACTGAAAGAATGTGAAAAGGGAAGTCACGTCCAACTCTCTGCAACTCCGTGGACTGTAGCCTACCAGGCTCTTCCATCTTTGGGATTCTCCAGGCAAGAATACTGGAGTGGGTAGCCATTTCCTTCTCCAGGGGACCTTCCTGACTCAGGGATCGAACCCCAGTCTCCTGCATTGCAGGCAGATGGTCTACCCTCTAAGCCACCAGGGAAGCCCCAAATGCCACTGAACTGTACACTTAAAAATGGCTCAGATGATAAATTTTACATTAGGTATATTTATTTTACAGCAATAAAAAAGTTGGAGAAAATATACCAGGGTATCTTCTTTTTAACTTCTCTCCCCATGGGATTTAGAGAGTCATGAAATAAAGGAAGTCAGCTATCTTCACGGTGTCTCAACCACTGATGAAGAAGAAAAGGACTTCAGACGTACATAGAGTAAACGCCTCCTGCAGTAGAGAAGGAAACACAAGCTATGTCTGCACCAGATTATTCCTCACTAGGGACTAGTCCAGCAGTGACTTCCAAGGTAAAAATCGCTGCGTAAATCAATTCATCATGTTGCACTGTCCCCAGATCACACGGTAAAGCAAAACTCACTTTTTGTTCACCAAGTTCCTCTGGTGCAGTTTTTGTTATGCATGTTAGAGAATGTGAGGAACACTCAGTACTAAGCCAAGCTGGACTCTGAGCCATGGACTGTCAAATTTTTTCAAAGGGCCACTGGCCTGACTCCCAAGCCTCCCCCAGCAACGCTGAAAGCAGCCATCATCGTCTTTGTGTTTTCTGGCCAACACAGATGGGGAGGGTTCACTTCAGCCTCCCAGAAAATCTACAAACAACCAGCTGAAGTCATGATGAAGACAACAGAAAAGTGCTTTAGGAAAAGGGAGAGAAAGCAGTGGCAGGCTGACCACAGCTCTCTGGGAAGGCCTTAGCAGCCTGAAGGTCAAGCAAGACCTCACTACAGAAACAGCTTTCCGAGCTGGACACTCAGCCTGGACCACACTACTTCCCCAGGTGGGAGAAGAGCAGAAATGCCCGTTTTCCCAGGGCAGGCTCAGGAAAGCCTCCACAGACGCTGGCCAAAGGCCAGCCTGCCGGGAGCTGGGACCTCAGCAAACCCCAAAGGCAAAGCTGGGTCAGATTAGGTCAGGCCTGCTCAAGCTTGGTCCACGTCGACCTGATGCTGCTGCCAGATGTGCCCGTGGTGATTCCCAGAGCAAATGGACCAAGGGTCTGGTCAGGAGCTGGTGCTCAGGTGGAGAGAAGCCAATGCCACTCCCCGGAGTTCCGGACTGGTTACTCACTCTCTCTACTTGAATGGCACAGGTACCACAAGCCCAACATGTCCAAAATCAGACTTCAAATCTTTTGCCTCTCAAATCTGCTCTTTCCATGTCTCTTCAACTCATGTTGTGGCATCCTCATCCTTCCAGTTGCTCAGACCCTAAACTCTGAAGTCACTCCTGACTCCTCACTTTCTCTCACATCTCTGCCTGATCCATTAGCAAATCTACAGGCTAATGGATCTACTTTTGAAATGTATCTAGTACTCAACCATGTCTTTCTATCTCTACTACCGTCACTCTGGTCCAGGTTATGTCTTCTCTGCAATTATTAAAATCGTTTTCTCACTAAAGAGAAAGCATCTGCATCCGCCATTGTCCCCATCCTCAACACAGAAACCAGAGTGAGCCTGTGAAAACAGAAGTCAAAATACATGAACAAGTCACTGCTTATTCAAAACCCAAAAGTATTCCCCTATCACTTAGAATAGGCCCTGCATGATCCGGCTCTCCACTACTGGTCCAATTTCATAATAAAAATTACTTTTTAACTGCCAATACTATTTATCAAACATATCAAGCATGTGTCCACCTCAGGGCCTTTGCACTTGCTGCTTCCTATGTCTGGAATGCCTTTATCCAAGGCATCTTTGTAGGTCGCTCTCTCACTTCCTTTCAGTCTTCAAGTCACCTTTTCAGCAAAACCTTCCCAATCCGCACAACCTAACGTTTCATACCCTTCTCTAACATTTCACGGCCCCATTCCCTTTCTTCACTTTTCCTCCTTACTGCACGTGTATATACTTATTTACTTATCTTGTTAATGTCTCTCTCTCACACCAGACTGTATGCTCCAAGACAGTAAGAAATCTTGGGTCTGTACATTTTGGGGTCAGCACCTAGAACAGCACCTGGCAAATGATAGGTGCCCGATATATGTGATAAATGAAAATGTGAATTAACAATGGAACACTGGACATCTTTGCACACAAGGTGTTATCTTGCCTTTAGAGAATTATTTTTGCAGATGTAGCAAACACTATTCATTATCCAGTCAATAACCATCCTCCCCTTTTTCCTGTCAACAGATCCCTGACTTGATGTGGTGTACTATTAGTTTGATGCAAAAGTAACTGTGGTTTTTGCATTGTTAAAACGTATCTTTTAAATACATTCTAAATAATAGTCATGTTATACATCATTTTAATGTGCATTTATCTCTCTTTTTTTTTTGCTAATGACTTATCAGTTGCTGATGATTTTATCTTTATTTTAGACTACAGAACTGATGCTAGACAAAGAGCAAATTTGAAGGATTTTCTTACTTGAGTTCAAAATGGGTCATAAAGCAGCAGAGAAAACTCACAACATCAACAACACATTTGGCCCAGGAACCGCTAATGAATGTACAGTGCAGTGGTGGTATAAGAAGTTTTGCAAAGGAGACAAGAGGCTTAAAGATGAGAAGCATAGTGGCCAGCCATCAGAAGTTGACAACAACCAACTGAGAGGATCATCAAAGCTGACCCTCTTACAGCTACACGAGAAGTTGCCGAAGAACTCCGTGTCAACCATTTTACAGTCACTGAGCATTTGAAGCAAACTGGAAAGGTGAAGGAGCTCAACAAGTGGGTGTCCCATGAGCTGTGCATGCAAAAGCTCAGTCGCTTCAACCATGTCCAACTCTGGGTGACCCTGTGGACTTTAGCCTGCCAGGCTCCTCTGTCCATGGGGCTCTCCAGGGCAAGAATGCTGGAGTGGATTGCCATGCCCTCCTCAAATGAGAAGGGGAATGGACCTCAAATCAAAAGAAACGCTGTTTTTGAAGGGTTGTCCTCTCTTATTCTACACAACAATGAACCATTTCTCTACTGGATTGTGATGTGCGATGAAAAGTGGATTGTACATAACGACCAGCCCAGTGGTTGGACTGAGAAGAAGCTCCAAAGCACTTCCCAAAGCCAAACTTGCACCAGAGAAAGGTCATGGTCACTGTTCGCTGGTCTGCNCCGACAAAGATCCATATAGCCAAAGCTACAGTTTCTCCATTAGTCGTGTCTGGATGTGAGAGGTGGACGATAAAGCTGAGCACCAAAGAACTGATGCTTTCGAACTGTGGTGTTGGAGAAGAAGAAGACTCTTGAGAGTCCCTTAGACTTCAAGGAAATCAAACCAGTCCATCCTAAAGGAAATCGGTCCTGAATATTCATTGGAAGGACTGGTGCTGAAGCTGAAGCTCCAATCTTTTGGCCACCTGATGCGAAGAGCCACCTCTTTGAAAAAGACCCTGATGCTGTGAAAGAATGAGGGCAGCAGAAGAGGGCAATGGAGGAGATGGTTGGATGGCATTGTCAATTCAATGGACATGAGTTTGAGCAAACTTTGCGAGATGGTAAAGGACAAGGAAGCCTGGTGAGCTGCCGTCCATGGGGTCACAGAAAGTCACAAGACTGAACAACTAAACAGCAACAAACTTACTTGGCTGAGTCGGGTCTTAGTTTTGGCACATGGGATCTTCACTGTGACACAAAGATTCTCTAGTAGTGGCACGAGGGCTTAGCTGCTCCATGGCATGTGGGTTCTTAGTTCCCCGACCATGGTTCCAATTTGTGACCCCTTCATTGCAAGATGGATTCTTAATGACTGGACCAACAGGGAAGTCCCCTAGAATGAACTTTTTGGTCAACTCAGTACCAAGTGTGCCTTGCATATTCTGATTCCTTTTGAAACTTTCTCTGTAATTTATTCAAACATTGGCTGCCCCTTTCCCTATACGGAGGATATTTACCTGCAGCTTTCCTTGTCAAGCTTAGGAAAGGTCTATGTAAAGCAGAAGCTGATATACTGAGGAAGGGCTTCAGTGCAAAGTTCTCCAGGTATGGCTTCTGTCAGACAGATGCCATTCCCTTCTGCACCTTTGGGGAAGGTCGATTTTCTACTTCTCAGCACTTTGCAAGATATGCTAACTGTATCTATATGGCCCAAATGAGTAAGAAAAACAAAGGCCCTTGAAACAGTTCAGAGCTCTCCATTCAACTTTAATATTTTCTTAAATGATAAAAGGGAAACTGCTGAATTTAAAAAAAAGATTGTCAAGTCCTATTGGATTTTATGCCACCAGAAAGACAAATAGATAAGTGCAGATAATGTTAGTTATATACCAAATGACTTACATTAGAATTTTCTAAAAGGCTAAATTTAAAAAACATGAATTTCTTGAAGAGACTATAGTTATATTTGCAGACATTATTTGCACAGATCTGCATAGCAAGGTAGAGATTATTTCTTGGTTACCTTGCTTCCCTCTTATTTTTATTTCCTCTATAAACCATCCTATCACACATTATCTAAGTCATGCATTCCCAAACTCTGGGTGGCCGTTACTGTCTATAGACCAAATAAATGATGTTGCACACATGTGAATTATTATTCTTCAATAATAAATTCTGCACAATAAATATGCTATCGTGGTCAATAAAATTTGAATTCATCTTTTACACTATTATTAATTCACATGAGCTCTCTGTAATTACGCATTTTTTTTTTCCAACTGAAGTGATACCAAAAGCACAGGTGAATCCACTCAGTCTGGTAGAGCTTGGTGATCACTATCATAAGCCCTTACTGACATTTATACGAATAACATCTGAAGCTGCTTACATCTACCTTAGCAGCAAAAGTCTCAAGAAGTCTTTCTGGAACATCCCATCCTCACAATGACCCTGATCACCCTTTACATCTAGTTCTTTAACATTACCTTTTCAGACATGCGTGTCTTAGCAAAAATTTTTATTTTAGGTGAGTATGCTTTCCCTTGCAGATGGATTATAAATTCTTCCTCAGTTTCCCCTTTGAATATGCAACAGTACTTTGAATGTGGGATTTTATATCCCCCCTACTCATAGTAATATCCATTTTGATTTGATATTCAATAGAAAGAACATGTTTTTCAGAACCTTAACTAAACCTTGGTTTGAATTGCATGTGATTACATGCTATCTTCTAACTCTCTGAGCCTCAATTTCTCCAAAAAGGTCAAAACAGTGGAATTAACCAACTTCATATGATTACCAAGGAGAATATATGAAGTAACATGTGTGAAAGCAGCTAGTGGAGTGACTGTCAGGAGATAAACTTAAAAAATGCTTAAGAAAGCTACTTAAAACATGAAAAGAAAATTCTCCTTTTCCCTTTCAAATTTTAATTAAAACCAAAGAGGTTTCATTTGACCACTAAGTGAATAAGAGAGAGGAGAGAAAGGCTGTTGAGAAAGACTGAAAAATGGAAACACGTCTGACCCTACTGGGGGCTCAGGGCTGACAGCTCAGTCAGCAGGAGAGCACTCAGCCAAGAACTCAGCTGCTCGGTGACCACTAAAGCAGAGGCTCTAGCTGAGTCAGGCTCTCAGGCACCCAGGTGACCAGCTGACTGAAAAACATGCAGTTCTGATTTACCTACATCTGTGCTGAGGGGGACTGATATTCCAGGCCACAAACCCTTCCCTGAAAGAGCAAATCTCATCTTTTGAAGCTAAAGATAGAAGCAGGATGGCTGGGAGGGTCTGAAAATGTCTAATTGGAAGACTCTAGATAATAATCAAACTCAGTTACTACCCCAATATTTTACAAGAGTGGTTCTCAAGGAGGTGTGATTTTGCCTCCACTTCCACTTCAAGAGATATCTGGCAATTTCTGGAGACGTCTTTGGTTGTCACATCTCAGGGGATGCTACTGTCATCTAAGGCCAAGGATGCTGCTAAACATCCCATAATGCACTGGGAAGCCTCCTGCTCACCCCCAACAAAGAATTATCCAGACCAATGTGTCAGTGGTGTTGAGGTTAAGAAAGCCTGTTCTATAGGAGTAATTGGTTTCATTCTACTTGTTCCTATGTACACTAAACGAACAGATCAAGAAAAATAAAATGATTCCCTCCATAAACAAATTTACATACATGCTCCAAGAAGACAAGAGACAGAAGCTATGCTGAGAATAAGGCTGACTTGATTACTTCTGTCACAAGATAACTAATGATTACTAAGCTAATTGGTTTTACCCTTTATTATTTCTTTTACCCATTATCTTCATTCCAGTTCAGTTCAGTCGCTCAGTTGTGTCCGACTCTTTGCGACCCCATGAACCTCAGCAGGCCAGGCCTCCCTGTCCATCACCAACTCCCAGAGTTCACCCAAGCCCATGTCCATCGAGT